GCATTATTATACATACATTCTTTTTTTGTTTATTTTGAGAAGCAAAAGGTTGTGTAACAGTAACATAAATTCTGATGTCACTCTTTCTCGCAGCTAGTTTTGAATATTCGGCTTTAAACTTGATGCATCAGCTAATTAAGTGCCGGCACCTGCTTCTCTTTGTGTTTTAAAAGTTACACGATAATCATTCGGCAAAGCATTAGTATTTTTAGTTAATGAAATAACTTTATTATGAATTGATGAAAGAAATTCATCTATAGTTGTAACCGATTTTTCAAACCATTTTGCAGGTAATGAAGTCCCATCTGATAACTTTATGAATAATTTGTATCCTAGTGCAAATTCAGATTCTTCGTTACTGCTTGTCTCACTCTCACTAGCGTTCTCATTATTTTCATCTTCACTTGCAACAGATATAGACGAAGAAGGTTCAATTGTTTTCTATATAAAAAAAAACAGTAATAAATAAATCAATAAAATTTCAAATAATAAAATCACAAGGCATCCAGGACGACCCCCAAAACCCGGATCACATATTTTATGCAATAGAAACAACGTATATATATTGTTCTGTATAATTAATTTATTTAAAGAACAATAAGCCTTCTTATTGACGAAACAGTCATGTGACCCATTTTTTGGGTGGTCGTCCTGGATGCCTCTAAAATCACTTTATCGTTATTATCTATTTTTGCCTTTGTTGTATCGGTTGATTTTTCAATTATTTCCTATAAAAAAAAAAGATAAATAAATAAATACAGTACAATATACTGTATATTGTATAATATAAAAAAGATCAAATTACTTTATCATCCGCTTTTTTCCTTGTTGTATTAGTTGATTTTTTGTCAGGACTCAATTTGTTTGAGATATTATTACATCGTTCACAAAGAGAAAATTTGAATTGTCTTTTTAAGTTTATTCGATAATTATATTCCATAACTAGTTTGTGAATATATTCGAATTTAGGTGCAGCCCAGGTAGGTTCGTAGGAACGTGGGTAAGCTTGTTTAACCAAATCTGTTCGATTTTTCTTAGTTGATACCAGAGATATTTTACAGTTGCATGTGCTAATACCTAAATCTGTAGCACAATATAAACATTTTCTGCACCCAAAGCAAGTACCGCGATAATATTTAAGTTTTGTATTTTTTGCATCCGTCATATAAAATTTGGCAAATTTGGAAAGAAAATTTTTACTATTTTTAGACTTTTTTTTATATTTATTTAAAATTTTTTTTTTTTAAATTCCCGATTTCTGGATTTCCAGATTTTCAGATTTCTGTATGATGTGTGATGTACGAAATTTGATGATCACGGTAATTTGAAAAGCACTGTAAATTAACAAGCATATTCTCATATCCACCGATAATAAAATAATGCTTTTCATGATATTCTAATATTAATGCATTCTTTGATTTTTTACTAATGTCTTCATTAGTTATTGCTATCAATCAAAATATATATAGACAAGATTAAATTTAAATAAGAAAAAATGATTAAACCTTTTGAATAAATTTACCAGAATATTTAAATTTTTCATTGCCAAAGTTTACTTCCACTGATCCGCCTTGCGATCTAAATCCAACACAAGGATATAGAATGCCTTTGAAATTGCTATATAGATGGTATGCAATTCCTTAAAATAGTTTATAATTATTAAATTTCTGTCTATTCGTTTTAAAAAATATGAATTTTAATTTCTAAAATGTTGGTTACCTAAGTTAATTCCATTTTTAGTATAAAATACTATGTTATTTCTAAAATTTAGATAGCATCCAACTGTATTACCAGTAGTATATAATTCTCCATATAGCCCACCACTTCCTGAATAAAAAGAATATCCGTCGTCACCATGGTAACCACATCACCATGATTCATTTTCCATGTTTTCCTGTCCTAAAAGACATAATATGGATGTTAATCTATAATAATAAGAAATTAAAATAAAAATCTGCTATTACCGGGCATGAGCATCGTCTATTTTTTTATCGCTTTGCTTTGTACAATATCCGATTCCAATTATTCTATTAAGAAAATAGAATTAAAGATTATAAAAAATCACCAGAACAAAGGTGATATTTATAGTACGAAATAATTATAAATATTACCCATTTTTTCCTTTGTTTATAATTTTAATTTCAAAGTAAAATATCCCACACTCTGAAGGGACTGGATTGTTTGCTCGAACGATTGCAGCTTTATAGTCATCAGGATCTTTAATTAGAAGGTGTTTAATCAATTAAATAGCTATGATGATATTCTTTTAAATGCTGATAATTACAGTAGCATATTAAATATGTTCTGCAAAATTTCTTATTTTCATATTACCTGTATAATTCACTTTAAGTCCACTTGAATCTATGTTGATAAATAGCGATTTATCTTCAATGTCCCATGCAGTTGGTAAAACAATATTGTTGTATGAAATTACTAATTCTAAATCCTCCATTGCTGTAGGCTAAAAATTCAATTCAGATCTTTTGTTAATGAACAAAAGTACTGAAGTAATTTATAAAAATATTAACGAACACAATGTACTATGTATGCATATTTGTATCCAGTACTAGTATTACAAGTTAAATGATAAGTATATTCATAAATTAATCCTATTGCTGTATTGATATCGATATATTTCAGTATGGTATTATGACCTGTCGGGATTTTGACCTGTACCCGATAATCTAACTAAAATAACTAAAGTGAAGCCACGGATTATTACTGTCTTGACTCTGTCGGCTTTGGTTGTGATTGCCAGTAAAATAATGTGCACATTTTAATTATTGCGACAGATTAAAATAAATCAGATTAAAATTATTTTTTTTTATTTTTTAAAGAAATTAAAATTTTTTAGATGACATTTTTTTGGTTATTTTTTTAGCATTAGAGTTAGAGTTTAGAGTTAGGGTTATTAATAAAAGAGCATATGTAAGTTTTATAAGCTTTAAAGGTGAGCAAGAAAAGTCACCTGTTTCATTTTAATCTGATTTTATTTTAAATTGTGATAATTATTATACCCAAATTAATTTGATATGTTCTAATTAGAGGTGCAGACATTTTGAGAAGCAAAATTGCAACTTTCACTATTAAAGTTGTAACTTTTATAATATGTCATAGGTTATAGTGGAAGTAATAAGTATTAAATAATATTATAGGACATAATATAGGTAGTAATATAAGTAATGAATAATTTAATATGTTATAATGCTGTAATATAATATGACATATTTTATAAAATATAAGAAACAATAATGCTAACATATCAACCTCATCTATAAATTTGCCTGAAGATTCAGTAAATTAATCTTTAGCCCAAGAATTCATAAAAGATTAACTTTCTTTTTTTTTTTTTTTTGTACTATTAAATATGGGTTATAATACTGTATATATTTGTTTTACAAATATAGCTTTACTCACTCTTTTAGTTTAACTTTTGGTAACATTCAGAACCGCTACAAAGATCAATTTAAAAACTTATCCCAAAACAAAATTGAATTGATTTTGGATACAAATTTTGTCTGTTAAATAGTTCACATTAGTTTTGTACATCAAAAACTTTTAGATTTCAAAATAAATCTGTAACTAAAATGATTCCTTAATTGCTATGGAGGGCACAACTCAAACTACCCAGTGGCACCGACCAATTTCACTGATCAACAATCAAAACAGCAATTTTTTAAAGTCATAAAACACTACATTAGAGTTAGATTTACAATTATATCGAGGCTTGTTTTATACTAAACTTTTGCAAGAAAATTTTTTTTATAAGTACGCAGAAATTTTTAAAAAAATGTATGCACATTACACCTGATCTTGTAATCTAATTGATCAATTCGATGTCGATCAGAAAAAATCTGTCGGTGCTATCAATATTTGGGATTCCAAAAGAACATTAAAAATAATAAAATCAGTTTAACCCTACCACTTAGACAGCATCAGTAAGCTTAATATATCAATATTAATTTACTTTAAGTAGTTGCACTATATAAAATCAGGATTTATAAAATCAATGTGCTATATATGAATAAAACGACCTACGACATTTATGACGTTATGGCCCTAAACATTTGTCACAACATACAACAATATTGCAATAGGTTGCAATAGTAGAATTACAGCCATAATTGAGGTAACACTGCTACAAAAATGTCTGCATCTCTAGTTAGAGTGTGTAATAGCCTATTAAATTAAACATAGGCAGGGTTACTAATGATCTTCACTAATTTCAGATTTTTTATAGGTATTGATTCACATATATCAATCTTATTAAAACAAAATTATATTTATTTTTTTTATATTTCAGCATGTCTTGCCACAATAGTAACCAAGCAAAATTACAAGAATTTTAACTATAGTTAATCCTTCTTTAACTGCAACAAGTGACTCACTCGGTTTAAAACCCAGATGCAACATAGCCTAGTAGCTGTTTGCCTCCCTCCGAGCCTTTAACTTTCTAGAGACATAAATTCTTTGATTATTGACCAGTGCTACACGTCATATCAGTATCATCTTTTCTACGAAATACTAATACAAAACAAAGGGCAAAGAAAAAAAGCGGTGATACTTTGGTATTCAAAATCGATCCACCTAAACAAATAAAATGAAAGAAAAGAAAACAAAGATAGCATTATTAAACCTGTGTCAAATTATAAAAATTATATAGACTACTAAATAATTTAGTCTAAACTCTATGCTAGTTACTTATTGTCTATATTAGGATATATAAAATATCTATTCTTGAATAGAGGCCAAGTCTGAAATTTTTCTTGTGGTCCCATCAGGTTCAGTGTGGTATCTTACAACATATTCTTATACTAATACTTGTCTCTGGGAAAAGTTAAACAACCTATGCTTTTTTAGCTTCTGTAAATCTCAGTATAAATACTGTAACCTCTTAAGGTAACCAATTAGACATTATTCATCCCAAAGTAGACACATACTCCTATATATGACTTTTCTTTTTCGGCAGTGATTGTTGTTATTGATCCTTTGATGAAAATACACTGTTTTTACACTTTTTGGTGAAATTTTATAACAAAACAAAGAGTAAGGCTTTGGTAGAGGTTTTGGTTTGCAGGTATTCTTAAACTTTGGTAAAGAGTGTGTTAAAAACTCACTTGTTGTACTCCTTAGACCAACTATTTTTAACTTTGTCAGCAGAAGCAGAACTTCTATTAAAATTTTCTGTACTATAATCGTCGGAGAAGTATATGCAAAATTACATTATTGAAATAAATAATTAATTAAATAAAATACTATTTTTTTTTAAATTGAACCTCAAGATTAGCTCTACACTGAAATAAAGCTATTTTTTTAATATATTTATAAAAAATATATAAAACACTAATAATTAATGTTTTTGGTTTCAATTATCAATATTTTTTTACTTTTTTTAAAAAAAAAAAAATTAAAAAAATAGCTCTATTACAGTGTAAAGCTGGTTTAGAGCTTCAAGTTAAAAAAAAATAGTATATTATTTAACTAATTATTGATTTCAAAAAATGTAATTTTATTTTAGTAAAATTTATAGTGATACTCATATTAATTTAGGGTTCGATTTACAATAAAATTACTAATTCATCCCCTAAAATCCCGAAAGCAATTTTTGATACTATCGGGATTTTGAGCATCTGGGTTTTAATTATGTAAAACAAAATCCCATTAGAAAATCTGCAATTAGTGATGATCACTATTAACCCTGCCTATTTTTGATTTAATAGGCCGACACATCCTATAGAAATGTGGAATAATATAATAATGAAGTCATGCAATGTAGAAGTATATTCGAATCAGATTCGGATCTAATAAATTCAGATCCGGATCTAACTATAGTTCCGAATTACTGCTATTTTCATAATTTCTGGAACACCTGATAAAAATTGACCGAATGGTACTCCAGCTGATTCGATTAAGTTTGAAATTTCGAAATAATAGATTCAAAATTGTATATATACGCGTATGTACGTCAGGGTTGTAAAATTACTGTAATTTATAGTAAGTTACTAAAACTTATAGTAAATTACCATGATAAAAAATTTCAATTGGCCAAGATTATGTCAAAGATTATACTAATGATTAGCCAAGATTTAATAGAAAAGTTAACTATACATATAAATTAATGCCAGCCAAAATTAAGCTTAACTCCTCAGTAATTTGGTTACTTAC